CGGACTATGTCCTCATCTTTGTCCCCATATTTATTACAACATTTTCTAATGCATTGAGGCTCAGGCCTTCTTCAAGTGAATGGAATGTTGAACCCTTATTTCACTCCTGGGGTAGACTGTTCCTAGTTCCACGCCCATGTTTTATGGATGTCAGTTATCGGTTATCTCCTGAGGACATGGCACAGTGGATAAAGGCGTTGGTTGATCCAGTGGCAGACCCAAAGAGCAGTGGTGAACTTAGAGAGGGGAATTAACAGGAGATATCTGAAAACTGACACCATAAAACATGGCAAGTAGAACTAGAACAGTCTACCCCAGTGAGCGAAATAAAGGGTTCAGTTCGACATCCCATCCAGCTGAAGAAGGCCGGAGCGTACAATTTAAACGTTGTAATAAATATGGCAAAAATATGAGGACAATAAGTTCAGATATGTAAATAATATATATATATATATATATATATATATATATATATATATATATATATATATTTAAAAGTTATGAAGAACTTGGTAAACTGTCTTGGTATTCAAAGAGGATATACTCTACCAGTCTCTTTAACTATCCCCCTGTTAAATTACAAAAACTTACACTACCCATCAATTTTAATCTCATTTTCGTTTCATTTCGTTGTTGGAAGTGTTACCTGATGATCCAGGTCCTTTTAAAAAAGGATTTGGTGAAATAAATTATTGTAATGGTAAATTAAAGTGGTCTGTTTTTTCATTAAACATATATATATATATATATATATATATATATATATATATATATATATATATATATATATATATATATATCGACAGATATATCACAATAATGGGAAATCTCATCAATAACGTCTTTTACTCCTCACACATAGCTAAGAGAAAGAGATCTTTTTTTTTAACGCCTTTTTTGTTATCAAGATATCATTTATTCTCAGTGATAATGTATCAGGGCAAAAAGCCATTCATATTTTATGTTCGTCTCGGAAATGTTTGCGTTTTTTTGGATTTTTTTTTTTTTTGTCTTCCCTTATCGTCTCGAAGGCACACAATGTCCGGGAAAGCGGCAAAATATACAATCAGTTTTACAGCGAACCCGTTAGTTTGTACATAGTTTTCTTATCGTTTAAATTTTCATGAGAATTCTCTTTTATTATTCTCTCTTTCCAACACCTTTTGCGTCAGTTCTCTTCAACATTGAAACACTGTTGCTGTTCGCTGTAGAGCATTCGACAGAAAATAGTTCCTAGCCTAAGGATGAAAACATTTCTTTACATATATATATATATATATATATATATATGTGTGTGTGTGTGTGTGTGTGTGTGTGAGAGAGAGAGAGAGAGAGAGAGAGTGTGTGTGTGTGTGTGTGTGTGTACTGCGTGTAACAGCAAAATTGTTCACTTCTTAGATTAAGACTTCAAATGTTGTAACTTAGAAATGATTAAAGATATCTTACTGGAATTCTCCGAGGTTTTTATAACATTATTAGACTCTACTTTGAGCAATAATAATGTATAATTACTCTCCAAGTTTAACAGAAGTATCGTGATGAAATCGATCATAAACGAAAATGACATGTTCATCATTAATTAATCATAGCTAAGGATCGGAAACACAAAAAGGATCGAAATAAATTTCATATATATATATATATATATATATATATATATATATTATATTCCACGATCATTTTCCAACTCTAACCTCATCATCTTTCCCCACTTTAACCTCCTAACTTTCTGTCCTGGAATAATAAGGTACCTCACAGGTTTCACGTACGATTTCATTTTTTCAAGTATTTTTTTCCATTCCTCTTTGGACTGTCATAGCTGAAACTCCTCTCTCACGTGCCAAACGTCTTATGGGGATCTATTTAGATATAGAAATCATCCCACTTGCTTTTGTAACCTGCTGATACAGTTTTCCTCTCTACTCTTCCCACTTTTTTAAACTTATTCATCATTCTCTTGGGTTAGAAAAGTAAAAATATTTCAAATCGTAGTTAAATAAAGTGTATTCTAACCTAAACACCCACCAAAAATCTTTAAATATAAAAAATAGGGGAAAAAATGCCGTAAGAATTTTTGCCGGTAACAATAAAATTTTTTTAAAAATTCCAGACGACATGCATTTAACGGATGTTAGATTTCATTGAAAAATACATCCCTACCCCCTACCGAAACGTAACAAATAACTGATACATCAAAATAAAGCCATAATGAACACGCAGACACCCCTTGTCCAGTTGAAGTAGATTTATCGGTATCCTTGGAAACCTGAATTATGATTTTAGCTGTGTCTTTAAAACCCAGTAATTTTAAAAGTTACTCCAAAATTCGCTTGAGGATGAAATGGAACTAATGTCTTTAATTTAATTACAAAATTAAATTCGGAGCTTTTAGCTTCCATTTTTGAAACATGGTCAAAACTGTGTAGCGTAAAAAAATATTTTAAATCAATTAATTTATAATATATATATATATATATATATATATATATATATATATATATGAATATATATGAATATTGAAGTCAACACTCAGAGGCGACAGGCTGTTCCATGCTAGACACACAATCGTCAGTGGCTTGTTTATTTATTTACTTATTTGTTTAGTTAACACAAATAAATAAACAATCCTCCCGCCAGAATAATCGTCAGAATGGATTACCTACAATATACTACATGGACCCATATATATATATATATATATATATATATATATATATATATATATATATATATATATAGCTGAGTAAAATCCAACATCAACACCTGAGGAATGCGTTTAGCATGAAACAGCCTGTCGCCTCTGAGTATTGACTTCAATGTTCACTTATTTGATATTTATACTCTATCCTTTGATATTGAGCACTTTATCCCATAAATATAGCAATAATCTTAAAACTATATTTCTCCACACACACACACACACACACATATATATATATATATATATATATATATATATATATATATATATATTACTAGGTATTGGCTGAAAGTTCATAGACTGAATATTAAGGAACGATGCTAGAGCTATGAAATCATGCATTAATTTCAATTCTTTGTAATATCTGCAGTGAATATTGAAAATTGATCTGACTGATCAAAGACTTCACAACTAACTAGCATAAACTACTCATAAAATGGACAAAATTTGGCAGCGTGGTATTATCAAGTATGAGTTAATTTTTGGAAGAGAATTACATTGCAACAAACGAGGGTGAAAAATGGCGATGAAATAAAATTTTTTAGAAAAAAAAAATCTTCCAGTCAATTTAAATTAGCTTGGAAATAGAACAAATTATGTTGCTTATTGAAAATATTAAATTTAATCTATTAACTTAAAATTAAAACTAAAATAAAAGTTTCAAGAAAGATTTTTCATTTTTAAAAATTCATTCTAAACCTTAGGTATCGCCATTTCTAGGGAAAAAGTGGGAAAAAAAAGAATTATCAGTGAAACGGTTGTCTGGTTGATTGGTGTCTGACAATTGTTTGACGTTCCAGTATCTACGGAGGAAGGGGTTTAATCTTCCCTATAGCTGTTCAAATTTTGTGTGCTGTTTCTCGGAATTTTTAGCAAACATAAATTGAAATGAAACGGAATATATTGAACAGGTCTATAGCAATGGCCGAGCGGACCGAGCGTAGGTTTAAGGCATCCGTTTCTTCAAAGGCATGTACTTTCACTCCCTTTATCGGTAATGTTTTGTGTGCTATTGTTTTAACGTTTCATTTATTTTAGAAAGTCATCAGGCGTAAAGAAGTTTCTCGATGTGCTCTCTCAGATGCCGTTTTAATGGGGCAGTTTCTTTGGAAACGTGGGTCCCAATCCGTCCCCCACACCCAAACAATGCAGTACCCTTAATCTTCAGAATGCAAATATAGTAGTAAAGCTGAAACCAAGTCAAAACGTCTGCATTTGAAATACATTCTTCAAATTTCACCTCGCCGAACGCATAGATTTTCGCATAAAAAAAACCCTTGTTAATTCTCACTGCTCGCTTTCAAACGCCATTTTAATAACATGGCAGATATGGCTCTATAGACTTGGGTAGCAAAGTGATTAATCTAAATTCCAGACTTATGAACAAACAGTGAGAAACCACTTCACTATCTTTCCTAAGAAGTCGTGGTAAAAGTAAAGAAAATTGTGGAGATCCATGATCGCTTTCGTCCTGAAGGGTCATGGCATCTAAAGACGAGGAGAAGGTAAAGGGAAACCACTCCACTATCATCCCCAAAAAATCATGATACTTCACAGATGAAAAGGAAAAGGAATCTGTGGAGAGCCATGATCGCTTACGTCCTGAAAGATAATTTGCATTTAAAGCCGTGGAGAAGGTGACGGGAAACTACTCCACTATCTTTCCCGAGAAATCATGACAATTCACAGATAAAAAGGAAAAGGAAACAGTGGAGAGTCATAATCGATTACGTCCTGAAAGGTCATGACATTCAAGCCGTGGGGATGATAAAGAGAAAACACTCCACTGTCTTTCACAAGAAATCATGGCAATTCACAGATAATAATGGAAATCTGTGAATAGTCATGATCACCTACATCCTGAAGTTTCCGAGCATTTTGAGAAATATTTCGTGCTGCTAATGCCAAATAATATGCGCATGCGTGCTTATGGAAGTGGCTTGACTTCTGCTACGTGAAGCAATGTAATTGTTTTAGTCAATTCTGTTTTGTTTTGGGTAACGGCCAGCTGAGAAATTATCACACCCGAACAGCTTCCTAAACAAAACAGTGATTTATTAAATATAAAGTTTTGTTTGTCGCTGGTTATATTCCCCCTTGAGAGAAAAGAAAGAAAGAAAGAAAAGAAAGAAAAGAAAGAAAGAAAGAAAGAAAGAAAGAAAGAAAGAAAGCGATAGAGAGAGAAAGAATGAATGAATGAATAGAATGAAAGAAAAGATAGATCGATGATAAGAAAGAATCAAAAAATAGATCCATGATAAGAAAAAAGAAAGAAAGAAGAAAAAGAAAGAATATATCATTAAGAAAGAAAGAAAGAAAGAAAGAAAGAAAAAAGAAAGAAAGAAAGAAAAAGAAAGAATATATCATTAAGAAAGAAAGAAAGAAAGAAAAAAGAAAGAAAGAAGAAAAAGAAAGAATATATCATTAAGAAAGAAAAGAAAGAAAGAAAGAAAGAAAGAAAGAAAGAAAGAAAAAAGAAAGAAAGAAGAAAAAGAAAGAATATATCATTAAGAAAGAAAGAAAGAAAGAAAGAAAGAAAGAAAGAAAGAAAGAAAGAAGAAAGAAAGAAAAAATAGATCTATGAATAGAAGGAAATAATACATCGATAACAAAAAGAAAGAAAGAAGTGATCGCTAATAAGAATAAAGAAAGAAAGAAAAATAGATAGAGGATGAGAAAAAAGAAAGAAAGAATAGATCAATGATAAAAGAAAAGAAGAAGGACTAAATCAATGATAAGAAAGAAAGAAAGAAAGAAAAAAAAGAAAGAAAGAAAGAATAGTTCGGTATAAATAAGAAAGAATCGATCAGTGATGAGAAAAAAGGAAGAAACAAAGAATATATCGATGATGAAAAGAAAGAAAGAAGAGATCGTTTATAGGTAAGAAAGAAAGAAAGAAAGAAAGAAAGAAAGAAAGAAAGAAAGAAAGAAAGAAAGAAAGAAAGAAAAATTGGCAAGGGATTAGACTGGAGAGGTAGAAGAAAGAAAGAAAGAAAGAAAGAAAGAAAGAAAGAAAGAAAGAAAGAAAGAAAGAAAAGAAAGAAAAATTGGCAAGGGATTAGACTGGAGAGGTAGAAGAAAGAAAGAAAGAAAGAAAGAAAGAAAGAAAGAAAGAAAGAAAGAAAGAAAAATTGGCAAGGGATTAGACTGGAGAGGTAGAAGAAAGAAAGAAAGAAAGAAAGAAAGAAAGAAAGAAAGAAAGAAAGAAAGAAAAAAAATTGGCAAATTAGACTGGATGTCCCAGAAAAGAAAAAAAGAAAGAAAGAAAGAAAAAGAAAAGAAAGAAAAAAGAAAAGAAAGAAAGAAAGAAAAAAAAAAAATTGGCAGGATTAGACTGGAGAGGTAGAAGAAAAGAAGAAAGAAAGAAAGAAAGAAAAGAAAGAAAGAAAGAAAGAAAGAAAGAAAGAAAGAAAAGAAAAAAATTGGCAAGGGATTAGACTGGAGGTAGGAAACAAAGAAAGAAAGAAAGAAAGAAAGAAAGAAAGAAAGAAAGAAAAGAAAGAAAGAAAGAAAAGAAAAAAAAATTGGCAAGGGATTAGACTGGAGGTAGAAGAAAGAAAGAAAAGAAAGAAAAAGAAAGAAAGAAAGAAAGAAAGAAAGAAAAGAAAAGAAAGAAAATTGATAAGGGATTAGACTGGAGGTAGAAGAAAAGAAAGAAAGAAAGAAAGAAAGAAAGAAAGAAAGAAAGAAAGAAAGAAAAGAAAGGCCTTTTTGGCAAGGGATTAGACTGGAGAGGTAGAAAGAAAGAAAAGAAAAACGGGAAAGAAAGAAGAAAGAAAGAAAGAAAGAAAGAAAGAAAAGAAAATTGGCAAGGATTAGACTGAGAGGTAGAAGAAAAGAAGAAAGTTGAAAGTTCAAAGAAAGAAAGAAAGAAAGAAAGAAAGAAAGAAAGAAAGAAAAATTGGCAAGGGATTAGACTGGAGAGGAAGAAGGCAAAAGAAAAAAGAAAGAAAGAAAAGAAAGAAAGAAAACCCTAGAAAGAAAGAAAGAAAGAAAAGAAAAAGAAAATTGGCAAGGATTAGACTTAGAGAGGTAGAAGAAAGAAAAAAGAAAGAAAGAAAGAAAGAAAGAAAGAAAGAAAGAAAGAAAGAAAGAAAAATTGGCAAGGGATTAGACTGGAGAGGTAGAAAGAAAGAAAGAAAGAAAAGAAAGAAAGAAAGAAAGAAAAAGAAAAGAAAGAAAATTGACAAGGGATTAGACTGGAGAGGTAGAAGAAAAGAAAGAAAGAAAGAAGAAAGAAAGAAAGAAAGAAAGAAAGGAAAGAAAGAATATATCAGTAAGAAAGAAAGAAAGAATAGATCTATGAATAGAAAGAATAGATATAATAGATCAATAAACAAAAAGAAAGAATCGATCGTTAATAAAAAAGAAAAAAAGAAAGAAAGAAAAATAGATAGAGGATACGAAAATAGAAAGAAAGAATAGACCAATGATAAAAGAAATGAAGAAAGACTAAATCAATGGTAAGAAAAAAGAAAGAAAAAAGAGATGAATGATAAGAAAAAAGAAGGAAAGAAAGATCAGATCGATGAACGTCAAAGATAAAGAAAGAATAGATCGATAATAAAAAGAAAGAAAAATGTATAGATCAATAATAAGAAAGAAGAGAAAAAGAAAGGTATAAGTAAGAAAGAAAGAATAGATCAATGGTGAGAAAAAAGAAAGAAAGATTATATTGTTGATGAAAAGCAAGAATAGATTGGTGATCAGAAAAAAAGAAAGAAAAAGTAGATCGGTGATTAATAAGAAATAGTCGATCGTTGATAAGATAATAGAGAGAATGAATAGACCGGTGATAAGAAAGAAAGAAAGAAAGAAAGAAAAAAAGAAAGAAAGAAAGAAAGAAAGAAAGAAAATATAAAGAAACAATGAAACAAAGAAATATATATCGATGATAAAAAAGAATAAATCAAGGATAAGACAAAAGAAAGAATAGATTGGTGATAAGAAAGAAAGGAAGAAAGAAGAGATCGATGAAAAGAAAGAAAGAGTAGGTCGATGATAAAAGAAAGAAAGAATAGATCAATGATAAAAAAGAATTAAAGAAACAATGGAAGAAGAGATTGATGAAAAGAAAAAACAAAGAAAAAAAATCGATGAAAAGAAAGAAATCGATAAAGAACTGATTAATGATAAGTAAGAAAGAAGGAAAGAAAGACTAGATCGACGATAAGAAAGAAAGAAAAAAGAAAAGAAAGAAGAAAGCATAGGTTGATGATAAGAAAAACGAAAGAAAGAACTTATGAAATGAATTAAAATTGTTGATATTTCTTTTCTTTTTCCTCGCAGCCATATTTGCGTATCCTTTTTTCCTCTCAAATCCATTTTTCTAACATTACGGAAACCATTTTCTTTTTTGACCATTTTTTTTCGCAATTTTTTTTCGCCATTTTTTTTTTCTTTTTCGCCATTTTCTTGTTTTTTGATTATTCTGGTGTTCACTATTTTGTGCTTCTATTAATCAGTAACTTAACGAGGTCTTTTCTTTATCTCTCTCTCTCTCTCCCTCGCTCTCTATCCCTCTCTCTCTCGCTTTCTCTCCCCCTTCCTGTCTTTCTCTCTCTCTCTCCCTCTCTGTCTTTTGTCTCTCGCTCTCTCTCCCTATCTCCCTCTCTCTCCCTCCCTCTCCTCTTACTCTCTTTTCTCTCACGCTCGCTCTCTCTCCCCCCTCTCTCTGTCTTTCTCCCTCCCTCTCCTCTCTTCTCTCCTTTCTCCCTCTCTCTCTCCTTCTTTCTCCCTCCCTCTTCTTTCTCGCTTTCTCTCTCCTCTCTCTCACATCTCCTCTGTTTTTTCTTTATGTGGAAGGTATAATTCGTACGGGCCATGGAAATCTTTATATAGCTGAAAAAGTAACGACTGGCTATGATTATGATGACGCTGATGATGATATCTTTCTCGACCAATACAATCTTAACCTGTTCATGCCTCGGGTTAACGCTCATCTTACTCACATACCCTCATCAGTTGAGCCGCCTACCTCTTACTACTGTTACCATTCATACAACAGCATCCTTCAGTAATCATCTATCTTGATTGACTCTTGGGCCTTGAAAAAATTACTCAATTTTACACATCATTACACGTGAACTAAGCTCAGATCTTTTTTCGACAACCTTAAAATGTGATCATCTGCTACAACGGTTCAAATCTGGGAATTTACTGAACGTGACAACACCCAGGTAAAAAAAAGTGTCGTCACATTACGACCATAATCGTATTTTGTTTCCAGAACAAACTGCACAAATTGAGGCATGACCATCAGATATCATTCCTCAAGAAGAAACCCAGCACTGCAAGTGATATACCCAGAGGCACGTCCCAATAGCCGGTGGGATACGACTGTTTTTGATGGTATGCGCTTATGTGTAGTAGATGTAATTTCATCAAACTGACATCACTTTGTTCTATGTCGTTGATTGATTAGTTTATTTTTACGGCTTACCAACCCTTTGCGGGTTTATTTAAAGCCGAAACATATTTGGAATTGTAAGACGTTGCTTACAGCACTCGGTGTTTTCAAGTGATCCCCCCCCACGTCTATGTACTGACTCACCTGGAGACTGATTACACCATTTTTTTCGACCCAAATGTTGTTAGACAATGGGCACAAGTTTCTGGGCTTTTTTTTCACTCTGTATCTGAAAATCGTCCATTTTTTCCCATCACATCACGTTTTCTCATTACAAATAATTTCTATTTTTCTTAAAATAAGCCAAAATACCGATTTAAAAGCGATATGCCAGGGCCAATCTATAACGTTTTCAGGTTAGAATAACTTATCATAAAAGAAAAAAGTATGCCAATAACTTAAAGAATATATTTTCAGTTCAGGAAAATTTTTCAGAAAAATCTGACACAGAATTAAATTTAGGCAAATGTGTGTCATCAATTTTTTAATCAAAACCGACAAAGATAGAAAGGAATGAAAAATACATTCATTTTTGTCCATCCAAATGTATAAATCTACTCTTCTTGGAAATTCTACGGTCCTTTTGAAAAGGTTGATCTCTTTCGATGCTCCAGTAGAAATCAGCCATCATGTTAACCTCCCATCTGCAAAGTTCCTGGTTGTCTATGCCTATCTGGTATTTGGCGGCTATTTTAAGATCTGATAAAATTCTAATCTTGCTAGTCTCACATACACTCGCCTAACACCCTAACAACCTTCATTTATCGATATCCCTATGGAAGTTATGCAGAGACTACATGACAATATCAGACCTCAGTAAATTCAAACGATATGTGAAAATCTTATGACGGTTTCAAGTTTAAAGTGAAAACTACTAATAAAAACTAAAATCGCTTTTCTTGAATGACTTATAAAGATCTTCTTCTATGAAAAATAGAGAAGAAACACAAATCACAAAGTTTTAACTAAGCTAAGAACATGGAGGGCACAAGAACATTTTCCAGTGAGATATCTCTCATAAAATCAAGCATTTTCAGGTCAGCTTATCTGAACTGAAATAGCTTAGAATTCATTTTGAAAGTTATTTGGATACTTTTTCTTGAATGATAAATCATTTTAACATGAAACGAAATGATTCAACTATGTCACTTGTATATTTAAGCCATGGCATATCCCTGTGAATTGGGCATTTTGGTCTATTTTATGCAAAATAGGATTAATCTGTACTGAGAAAACGGGATGGAATGGAGCAAAATGGACTTAATTTTCAGATTCAGCGTGAAAAAAAAATAGCAGAGG